TGGCTTAACAACATGTTACTAGCACCATCATACTTTACGGCGGTTGATACATTCTCCGTCTCGAGCTTGCAACTGCATACTAATTAAAAAAAATTAAATCATTTTTTTTTCTATTTTTCTAATGTAATTACAATGGTGACTCTTTTTTTAACAAATTTCTCGCTACATTATTTAATTTATTTTATTTTTTTGGCATGTACGAAAGATCTATTATTTTATTTAATTGCTATGATTTGTAATCATTATTATGCAAATTGGGTTTAATTTCATAAGTATTTTTGTAATTATAAATTAAATTAGTGTTTTTTTCTTTTGCACATAAGTTTTCAGATTTATTTTAGAAATTTGCATGGAGATTATGTTAATCTTCTTTGTATTATTTAAATTTTATAAGATGTTTTTTTTTTGAAAGTAACGATAAGCACAAATTAAATAATGTTCGAAAAAAATAACTATTATTTAATTGAACGTTTGGTATGTTTATATTTTTTACAAGAGAATTCAAATTCGAATCATACTATATTTATTTATTTATTATTGTTTGAAAATTATTTTTGCTATCTTATAATTATTCTTTGTATATGACTTCCTAATAAATGTACATATATATATATATTTGAAAAAAAGAAAATGATGTTGCCAAAACTCATAGGAACTTGGAAATGCTCCTTATGCCCCATTGCAAATCTAGTAAGATTTTCTTTAATCTAAGATTGCTTTCCAAATTGCAATAACCTAATTAATTATAATATTAATTTCTTCTTATATATATATATATATATACACACACACACTCGTGTAAGATTGAATTTCATCTAAAATTTTAATTATACGAAATCAAGATATATATATAAGTAATATTAGAAAATGTAACATAGTATTTCTTTATTTTTTTTGAATAAAAATAAAAATGATATGGTAAAACTAGTTGTAAATAAATAAATATATATATATATATTATATAAAGACAAAACTTTAGATATATCCTCTTCTCAAATTTGAAACCCGAATGGCTAATGAAAGTTGGACCACCGAAGAAGGGCCCAAAGAAGAAAAAGGAAAAAATTAATAATAAAATAACATAAATAAATAAACCAAGAAATAAAATAAAATAATATATATATATATGTGTGTGTGTGTGTGTGTGTAAAGATATATGATGGTTTGAATTAATAAATTAATAAGAGGGTTAAAATTGTATGAGAGATTAATTAAACTAAAACATGTTGTAATGAGCCAAAGACCAAAATAATAGGCTAAATAGGATACATTATTAATTTGTGAATTAATTAATTAAATTGAAAATATTTTGGTTATTATACTGAAAATAAGTTACATGGGTATAATTGTCCTAATTTTTTGATAAATGTACATCGCGTAATGATAAAAAAAAAATAACAATACCGGCCTTTCGTATGATAAAAGTTATGTGATTAGAGAAATTTAAAGAAATAATATGTTTAGAAAAAAATAACAATAAAACTTAACTAAATGAAGAACGAGAAATAAAATAAGAAGAAAAAAATAAACCCGTATAAAATGTCAATTTAAAATTTTTAAGTCAATGTAAAATGTCAATACAATAAAACCCGTTTGATCAAATATCAAGGAGGGTGCGTGCATGTGTGGTA